CAAACAAAACATTACAATAGTGTCCTGCATTTCCCCGAACATTAAACAAGTCACTGATACTCTGTGCTTGCGTAAGTTTTCTGCTTCCACATAAAAAAATATTGAACTCCAATATCCAGAATTAGACTACCTGTACATCTTGACGATAAACTGGCAGGTATGTAGTTTACTCACGATTGCTTATCTTAACAGTCTCAGTTAAACGACAGGTCAGCTGTGCAGGTTTAGAGGAGCAGCTATAGCTTTCCTGGCATCATTAGCAAAGCCCAAACATGAGGATCAACCTCAGCAGACTCGTAAAGCAAAACTCTCCTGCTGTCACCTCGTTCTTTGGGTTTTAAACTCTTCTTGACCACTTCTGCGATTGCTCCGATGCCAAGTCCAACTGCCAGACCTGCAAAAGGAAGTGATTTTTTTTTTTTAAACCAAACAATTCACTGAATAAACTTCTGCAAAGATGAAGTTAACATTACCAGTGTTGATAACTGCTTGCAAGAGCAGTGTTGCCCTTACAAACAACCTACCTGCATATGATAACTACTGCATAAAAAAAAGAACGTGATAACAACAATCAGCAACCAGACTTGGGTATAATTTCTTAAAGCAGCACCAAGGAAGGATCAGGGGCAAATGGAGGCCAAGAATTAGTGAGAGAAAAATTTGATACTTCCACGAGAAGGCAGCTGATGGTTGATGCACGTTTTCCTATTAGCTGGATTCTCAGGCATGTTCCAGTAACGTTTTTTCTGCTACTGATACTCTGTAATTTAAGTCCTGTGAGGGAGCACGTCAGCACTTTCCACAATCTAACCCCACCTCTTGAAAACTGCTGACCAAGGTCATGAGGTCAGACTCTTTCCACTAAATCCTAAATTAAACTTTGATTCCCAAACACTTTACAGTATGAGGAATACAAGCAACAGTGGCTATTCTACTTACAAAAAACAGATGTCTGTATAAATGGCATGTTCAGGCTTTGTGAGGGAGTTTTTACTCAAGTGCATTTTGACGTCTCGCTGAGTTAGACTTGGAGGAAGTGCCAGCACTGCCAAAAACAAATTGCAGAACTAGTTTGCAGAACTTCTATCGCAAAAAGTCGTTAGTTACAGACTCCATCCAGGATTATGATTTTTAAAAAGGTCGGATTCTCATTTAATATATAAAAATTAAAGTGAGCTCAACATTAAATTGGTTAACAATTTTATAGATGTTCTCTCAGCTTAAAAACAGAATCCCAGTAAAGAAGCTGTAACTGATTATTTTAAAACACATTTTTGGGGGAGTGTGATAGGTTTTCAACACTGCTGCTGCTTCACATTCATGCAGATCACACTTTGACAGCACCTGGCAGCAGCTCAGTATTCCCACACAAGCTGGCGTTGTCCAGTTCTTGCCCAGTGGAGCAACTCAGGGTCAAATGCCTTACTGAGAGGTACACTTTGTTTTGAGATTTACAGACATTTTTTAATTCAGGTTTTAATGTGACAAATACCATGGTAAAGAAATCCCCTACCTCCAAAGTTTACCAGCCTTCCTATCCGTGTGACGGGTACCCTCTTCTCTCGAGCTTTTTCACTAAGCTGAAATCAAAGGAAATAAAATGTAAACACTTCACTGCAGCTGTGAAACACACACTCGCATTTATCATTAAAACACTCATTTACAGAAAAAAGAGAGAGAGTAGATACCACTTGCGTATGCTGCTTAAAGTCCCTTTTCTTGTTACTCCTTGCTTTATCGATATCCTC